AGTTATATAATAAACTACGCTAGATATATCTTAAAAATTGTAAAACAGTTTTAAAATATTTGTGGTTTAAACCACTATATTTCTTTTAAAAGATAACTGAATAGGTTGTGAACACATGATTATCATTTAGTCCTTTCTCTTTGATATTAATAAATATTTTATATACCCGAAGTGTTTAAATAAGTGTTTAAGTCCTTTGGACTTCGTGCTTTTGTAACAATAAATAAATAAAAAAATAATAATAAATAAAAAATAATATGCTAAGCCATACTTTTTAAATGTTAAGCTCATATATAACTTAGATTGGTGTATTCACATGTTTAAAAGCTAATTTATACAAATTTTTAATTATTTTTGTTATTGTGTCATCAGAAAAAAAGGTACCCTGTTTCAATATAAATCCCCTTGACTGAGATATGGAGATTTTCCTTCCTTAAATATAACAAAGCTGAGAGTTAGGGCTTCTACTTAATGGAGAGTTGTTGCTATCTAATTATATGTAATGGTCAAAGTTGGATAAATTTAGTGCCGAAATATGGGGGAGATATTTCTATAAAAATATTAAAATTGGGCTAAAAGAAGCTTAACTGGCGTCATGTTGATTTCTATTAATCCAACCAATCAGTTGAGCCAGTTCACATCACGTGATATTTATCCAACTTCTGGTTGGCTGATGGTGTATCAAAATTTAATGATCAAGAAGTTTGGTCTGTCCAGCTGACATTGTGGCCCTCATCAGTAGACACCAACATCTGAGATTGATACAAGATTCATCCGGTTTAATTGTCTTCGCTATGATTGTCAGGGTGATCATAAGAATTCTTACCTGCATTCTTCAACATATATATACATATTTTTTGGTATAGAATTTCACAATAAAGTTTGTAATATTTTCCAAATATATTTGCATTACTTCTTTCTTCAAGGTTGAGCCAGTATTTTCTCGTTTACCATTAAATATTAATTTATATCAAAATTTGTATAATAATTTCTCATATCTTTTCAAATTATTAACAGAATATTTATTATATATGTTTGTTGCTTTTAGTTATTTATATTTTGTTTTAATGTTTCATATTTATTATTTTATCATACCCAAAAGATAATATTGATTACTTTTGCTTTATAATTGTTATTGCCAATTGGACCTTTAACATGGTCAAATTTTAAAATAAATATTACAATATATCAATGGATTTTTTTTCTTCAAATTACTATAATATAGATCTAGATTTTTTTTAAAATCATTTTTGTTTCATTTAATAAATAAGGATTCAAAGTATTTTTTATTTTCCTTTTATAAATATTATCAATATTTTATATGTTTTTAAAAATATATATTTAAAGAAAGATAATTGTGGGTGGTGGTATTTATAATGGGAAAATAGATTTTTTTATAACTAAAAATTATTTTTTCCATTGTTATACTAACAAAAGTTCTCTTATTTATATATTAAAAATAAAATAATTAATTAATAGCTTATAAAATTTATTTTTGTTAAATTATCATGTTCATATTAAAAGAATCAAAGAATTATTTACCAAAAGAAATAGCTTCTAATTTGGATTGTCTACCATTTAAATATTTATTATCTTAAGATGATTGACAAAATACCTTTGATAATTTGATGTTTTTAATATATTTATCCATATATTATATAAATAATATAATAATACAATATAATACACTGCGGCCTGTGATTGTAAAACGACACTTGAAGTTACACCGCATGAGTTTCTTTTCAACGAAATATCAATTTTTTTTTATTTCAAGGTAAAATATCGACTATTTCTAACCTTTTTGGATGAGGCATGAAAGGGTGAACTATGAAGAGTAATGACGAACGGAAAAATAAAAGTGTCCAGGGATGGGAATCGAACCCACAATGTTCCGCTTACCGGGCAGATGCCATGTCCACTAGGCTACCCTGGACGTATTTTTCCGTTCGTAAATGATACATATTGATTGTAAAACGACACTTGAAGTTACACCGCATGAGTTTCTTTTCAACGAAATATCAAATTTTTTTGTTTCAAGGTAAAATATCGACTATTTCTAACCTTTTTGGATGAGGCATGAAAGGGTGAACTATGAAGAGTAATGACGAACGGAAAAATAAAAGTGTCCAGGGATGGGAAAAATACGTCCAGGGTAGCCTAGTGGACATGGCATCTGCCCGGTAAGCGGAACATTGTGGGTTCGATTCCCATCTCAGGACACTTTTATTTTTCCGTTCGTCATTACTCTTCATAGTTCACCCTTTCATGCCTCATCCAAAAAGGTTAGAAATAGTCGATATTTCACCTTGAAATAAAAATTTTGATATTTCGTTGAAAAGAAACTTATGCGGTGTAACTTCAAGTGTCGTTTTACAATATAATAATAAGAGAAAACTTATAGATTATTTTTTGTTGCTGCGTTGATATCTAATTTTTATGAAGAATGGGGGGAATGTTCAATAATATTTTGTTAAGGAAGAAACTACGTTCAAGTAAACATATTGCCACGTGGAAAATTAGGGAAGACAAAAACTTCAGAAGGAGACAATTTATTTCAGGCAAGAACAAACTATGCATGGTAAACAAAAGATAAACCACGAGGGAAATTTACAGAGTAGCAAAATATAAACATAAAACGACCACGCTGCTAATAAAAATAATAAAATTAATAAATACTTTGTTACATAGCTTCTTTCCTATGGGAGCTGTGACCCACAGCTTGCAATTATTGTAGTTACTAACATGGATTTGACGTGCTTCTGCCAAGGATTCCATCGAAGTCTTGGAATTTTGTCCCTAGTACCTTTGTGTCCTTTTTCTTGCGGCGTGAAGAGCGGCTTTGTCGTCGTATCGTCTATAGGGACATCGTCTTCTTAGAGGGAAGTATTGGCTTTAGCACGGCGGTGGAATCCTGGAGTCTCCAAAAATGTAGATCACAGCACCCATGGCTTCAACGTCTTCTCGGCGATCTTCAGTTTGTCTTCCCTAACTTACCCGGCATCTCCACCAAAATGCCACGTGGAAAATTAGGGAAGGCAAACCTTCGGGAGGAGACAATAATTTATTTCAGGCAAGAACAAACTATGAATGGTAAACAAAAATAAGCCACGAGGGAAATTTACAGAGTAGCAAAATATAAACATAAAAATGACCGCTCTGTTAATAAAAATAATAAAATTAATAAATACTTTGTTACAATATCTTTTGGGATAATATCTTCAGCTCATTTGTAACCGTTATCATTTGATCGTGCTGTGAATTGTGTCAAGTTATATAAACATTGCTATTTAATTGTAATTCTACAGTCCTAAAAGCTTATGTCTATAATTTGTTTAAATACCATTTCTAAGATTCCACCCTTCAGTGTAGCATATATAAGCAGAATGATCTAATACAGTATTAGAGCTCTAAGGAAGCGGTCTGGTGGATTAAATTGACGAAACCGCTGGGAGGGTTCACCACTGATTAGCCAAACCCTCTCAATATTTTTAATCGCAGTAAGGACAGTGTAGTTTGATTTATTTGTGAAAAGAAACATTCGCGTCTTAATGTCTTCATTCGTTATTGACAGATATTTCAGCAGTTATCTTAAAGATATAAATACTATAAGGAACTCCTCTTTTTAAGTAAACAACAACAAATATATTGTTGCACCAAGTTGCAGCTTTGCAGGGTCGTCGACCTTGGTTTCTTCCTTCTTGGCGTTATACACGTTTCCCGAACGGGTTTCCATACTCAAAGTAAATAAATAAAAGTAAATAATGGTAAATTAACTTTTAAAGTTATTGTGTTTATTTATTCGTTGTCTTCCTCGTAGGTCGCGACCCGCAGTCTAGGTCCTCTCTCGCTCCAATAACCAGTCAAGATATATGTACAATAAATATTACAAAAGGAATGAAAATATAAAAAGGAATGATGATAATCTAAATATTCTGTTTTAAATAAATATTAAACCATACCTGCCAAAACCTGTCCTGTTTACAGGGGTCGTCTAAAGATGTCCCTCGGGACCCCACATGGGCTGGGCGTTGCCTTTTTTCCTCCCCTCTATCCCTGCCACCAGCTGACTGAACACTCTTTGGATCTTTATTTTGACGTCATAATTTTTAGTGTTACACACAAATAGGGGTTTACAGATATTATCAATAAAGATATAGCATATATACAAAATATGGGGGTGGCAGCAAACAGAAACGGTGTACATTCCAAAAGAAGGGTAGGATCTTTTAAGGCATCGGTTCTAACTAATTTGAAGATATATGACATATACTAAAAGTGTCATTATTATACAATTTAAAATATACTATATATATATTTTACAGAAGTTGAAGTAATAGATTGTAACTCTACATACCCATTCTTGATTAATCAAGAAAAGCTAACCACGGACGCGTTTGGGGCTGTTGGCCCTCATCAGCGTGGTGCAAGCTGTACCTCAACGACCAAAAAAATAGTCATTCAAGGCATCCTGAAAAATCATGAAACGGGTAGTTAAGGCCAGAATTGCGTGAGACCGCGACACAATGTGAAAAAATAGTACAAATGTGATATTGTACTAGGATAAGGTGCATAATTATGAAATTGTATTTGGCCAATTCTGGAATAATTAAAAATCAACGAGAATAGTTGATATTTATTCCGATAGATGGCGCAAGCCATCAGCAACTTTCAGTTGCACGATAAGGAGATGCCTTTTTTTCATATATATATGGCGCGCTATTGCTTTGTGTTAATTTTGCTAAGTGTTTACATAGAATTTTCGAATGTAAATTGTGGTTGAGGCCATGTGTCTGTTGTGTGAGATGTTTCAAATGACGTTGTTACTCACGTTATGGAGGGAGGTCCGACAGTTAGACAGGTCCGTAGTTGTCCAGTGGTGTGGAATGAAACAATCTGGACTGCAGGTCCTCAGTATCAGGAGGTCCTAGGTATGATGATCCATTCATCGTACATCCTAGATAGGTTCTCAGAGTTCAGCGGAATTGAGTGAATGCTTGGTCGCCAGGTCCAGGTCGGGGATCGTCGAGGGCAATAATGGCTGTAGACACACAGACTTCATTGTTGCAGCTGACAACAATTTGAAGGCAATATTAAGTTGATAATATTTACATAGGTTATAGTAGCCTTAGAAACATGCATTTTCAATCAATACTTTTAATAAGACCTTTTTATCCTATTTACATATTTTCCTGAGAGATACAGCAATGGAGTGGGAAAAAAAGAGGAAGAAAGAAATTCGAATACACAAAGTTATATGAGAAATATATACATATAGTGTGTGTGCTATAATTAATTTGATATAATATTTACATAGGTTATAGTAGCCTTAGAATCAAGAATTCTATCAATACCTTCATTAAGACCTCTTTTATCCTATTTACATATTTTTCCTGAGAGATGCAGCGATGTGAAAGAGAGGAAGAAAGAAATTCTAAGTTCAAGTGATGTCTCTATACAATTTTCCATCTATGTTTTGCCAATAGATATGGCCCAGCCACATTGCCAGCAAAACACCTCTTTGGTAGATTGTGAGGATTCCATTAGATCCCGTGTGGATCTCATGGAATAAAGTCCGCCCTAGACTGACGAGGGCCATTAGCCCGAAACCATGGTCTCTAGGTGGACGCTTATCAGTTTGCCAAAGTTGGTGTTGTGGCTTTGTCACCGACCCGATGCCGCTAGTTGCGGCGACGGTCAATAGATGGCGTCAGATTCTGACGTTTATTTTGACGGGAGAGGCGACCATTGCTTCCCTGAATCTAGAAAGTGTTAGACTTAAATACTCTATTTATGATGTGTTACATTTCTTTGTTTATTCAAATTTCTTTCTCCCTCTCTTTCATATCGCATTGCTGTATCTCTCAGGAAAATATGTAAATAGGATTAAAGAGGTCTTAATAAAGGTATTGATTGAATGCATGATTCTAAGGCTACTATAACCTATGTATATAATAACATATCAAATTAATTATAGTAAACACATTATATGTACATATTTCCTATATAACTTTGTCTATTCGAATTTCTTTCTTCCTTTCTTTCTCCCAACCATTGTTGTATCTCTCAGGAAAATATGTAAATTGGATAAAAGAGCTTTTAATAAAAGTATTGATTGAAAATGCATGGTTCTAAGGCTACTATAACCTATGTATATAATAACATATCAAATTATATATAGCAAACACATTATATGTATATATTTTTTCATATAACTTTGTGTATTTAAATGTCTTTCTTTCTTTTTCCCAACCATTGTTGTATCTCTCAGGAAAATATGTAAATAGGATAAAAGAGGTCTTAATAAAAGTATTGATTGAAAATGCATAGTTCTAAGGCTACTATAACCTATGTATATAATAACATATCACCATATACACACATTATATGTACATATTTCCTATATAACTTTTTGTATTCGAATTTCTTTCTTCCTTTCTTTCTCCCAACCATTGTTGTATCTCTCAGGAAAATATGTAAATTGGATAAAAGAGCTTTTAATAAAAGTATTGATTGAAAATGCATGGTTCTAAGGCTACTATAACCTATGTATATAATAACATAAAAATTAGTTATAGCAAACACACTATGTACATATTTCCTATGTAACTTTGTTAATATTATAATCCCTTCGGTATAATTATAAATTAAAACAATTGGCTGAGGGAAGTTTCTATTTATATAACGGCAATACAAGCTTTCGGGCTCAACAGTCCTTTGACAGGTATAACTACTGAGGTTTTTTTAGCAGGTGCACCCCTCTTTCCTTTCCATGATGTCTACCTCTATTGAATTGTATCAAATCCTCCAAAAAAAAGACATCTGGGAAAACCCCAGGACTATAATAGAAAAGCTGAGAGAATGGGACCTAATGGAGATCGTTTAAACGACTTGAGGAATAAGCAACAACAACTGAGGTTTTTTTTTATATTAAACAAATCCATATATATATATTGAAATAATAATTCCTTCACTAAACTTTAAGAACGAAATACTTGATGAGGAAAGAGTTTCTTTATTACACAAAATTAGTTCACAAGCTTTCGGGCACAATCACCCTTCTACTGGTGTAAAACGAGACAAAATTATTAGTGGCATTCAGCTATATACATATATACAAAAAGTAAGAAAATAAGACAGATATGTAAAATTGTGCCAGAGAAAATTAACATAATATTGGAGGATCATTCATAAAATTAAGCAAAGCAAGTAAATAAACGTA